TAGTCAAACGGTCATGTCTGACTTCAGCGAAATGTCGATTGAAAATTTGATCGATTGCATACGTGAGAGGAATAGTGACCCATTGATTGACAAGTTGCTTGCCCTCCTTTGTGAAAAGGTGTCGGGGGTGACCACTATTGATCCGAGCGCCGAGAAAAGGGCTCGGAGTGTGGTCTTTAGCGGGGTCAGCGAGGCTGAGGGGGATGTCGGCTACCAGGAGAGGCAACATGATCTTGAGCAAAAGGTGGGCAATATCCTGGAGGTGCTCAGGGTCGAATGCCGTCCGGTAGAGATCTATCGTATGGGCAGCTTTAACTCCGCTAGGCCAAGGCTGGTCAAGGTTGTGCTGCCATCGAGGTCCCACTGGCGCACAGCCCTGACCAACTCCAGGCTGTTGCGTCGCTCTGCTTTTCCTAACGTGTACGTTAGGAAAAGTATGACTCCAGAGGAGCGTAAGAGGGATTACGAGCTCAGAATCGAAGCTCGTCAACGCAACAGGGGTAAATTGAAAAAAGAGTGGGTAGTCTACCGTGATGAAGTGGTACACATCTCCGCGCTTCCTCACGCTTTTCAGGGAAACGCTTAGGTGTGCATGGTCTCCCTCTATCTAAAATATGCCTAATTAATGCTCGTAGTCTCTGTAACAAAATACATCTCTTGCAAAGCTTCATCTGCCATCACAAGCCCGATTTAATTTTTATCAATGAAACCTGGCTCAATTCTCATATTTTGGATTCTGAAATTGTTGGAGGTTTACCATACTTGATCTACCGAGCTGATCGACGTAGACGCAAAGGTGGTGGAGTTTGTTGCATTATTAAAAGCCATTTTCTCGCCACATGTGTTGATTTGAACGTTGAAATCAAAGCTGATTTACTCGGAATTAAAGTTTTTGACGTTGACCGAGGGTGCCAAATGCAGTTTATCACGGTTTACCGCCCACCCAATTCGAATAGTAATGATGATGATGAATTACTGGAGATTCTTAGCAATTTTGCTTCTGAGAACATTCCAACTATCATACTCGGAGATTTCAATTTGCAAATTGATTGGATGGCCAAGAAATCCCTCAATGCTGCCTCTTGCCCTTTTCTGGAGTTTGTAAACAACTGTGGACTAAAACAATATGTGACCTCACCGACTCATGATAGCAATACTCTCGACATTGTGCTCTCGGCCTTTCCGCTCATCTCGCATGTGGGCACACTTCAGCCACTTGGGTCCTCGGATCATAGGATTGTCACCTTCGAGATCGAATTTTCGAATTCCTCTGCTTCCACATTACCTTTGCCTGATTTTCTCAGTGTTGACTATTCCTCTCTTAATTCTTACTTCTTTAGTGTAGATTGGCTCTCCTTATGTAATAATTATACCTCATGTTCTGAAGTCTACAAAAGATTTTGCCTAACAGTTTATGAAGCCTTTAGCAAATTTGTTCCGATTAGGGTCAAAGTTCCTGGTATTCATAAGATCGACCTGCCACCACACATTCGTGCCTTAATATCTCAAAAACAACGTCTTTTTGATACTCTGCCCAATCCTTTGAGTTGCCCGTTGTATAAAAAAGTTTGTGCTGATATAGATTATCACATAAAAAAATATTTGTCATATCGTGAACGAATGCTTGCTAGAAGAAAGTCGTCTAAATATCTTTTTTCGTATTTGAAGAATAAAATGAAGCCCTCCCAACATTTCTCTACTTTGACAAATTCTTCTGGTACCTCTTATGTTAGCGATAAAGATAAGGCAGATGCTCTTGGTGCCTATTTTGCCAGCGTTTACTCTCCTGTCGCTATTAATGACAGTGATAGTGATGCTGACAGAATAAGCGCTGATGCAGTGCTGCCTCGCCATTTTTGCAATAATGTTCATTTTCATCCCGCAAATGTCTACCAGTTCCTTATCAAACTAAAACCTTCCATAACTGAAACATTTGATGGCATCCCTCAGATAGTATACCTAAAATGCGCCTCGTCGCTTGCGGCTCCGCTTGCACATATATTCAACATTTCGATGTTGTGGGGGGAAGTCCCTGACTTGTGGAAAGAAGCTTTGGTTACAGCAATTCCAAAAACTGACGGAGCATGTCGAATTGATAAGTTCCGTCCAATTAGCTTGCTTCCCACTCCTGTTAAGATCATGGAAAGAATCATACGTGAAAAACTTTTGGAATGGCTAAAGGTTTCGGATTTGATCCCCGATGAACAACATGGCTTTTTGAATGGGGCTTCCACCACAACAAATCTGGTTGATAGTGTGTTTGAGTGGAGCTTAGCAATCAACGAGGGCAAATCGGTTGATATTGTTTATGTTGATCTCTCGAAAGCGTTTGATAAGGTCTGTCATGCTAAATTACTAACTAAAATGAACAAGTTAGGGATTAAAGGAAATCTTCTTTCGTGGTTGACTTCTTATTTGCATAATCGGTATATGACTGTGAGAGTTGGTCATCGTTACTCCAAAAAGTACTTCTGCACTAGTGGTGTTCCACAGGGTGGTGTCTTAGCCCCCTTGCTTTTCCTGATTTACACCCTTGACCTACCTTCTACTTTGAAGACTTCCGCTAGCGTACACATCCGGATGTATGCTGATGACATAAAGATTTTTGCAGTCTATGATCCGGAAGTAGCTCCAGAGATTTAAATGGACTTGCAAAGGTCTCTTGATAATTTGACCAATTGGTGTGAGGTCTGGGAATTAGCGTTAAATTTTGACAAATGCTCAGTGCTTCATCTTGGAGGTGGAAATAGTACCTCGTATCACATCAAAGGCTCTATATTGAAGTGTTGTTATACTGTTAGAGATTTGGGTGTCGTGATTGATACAAATCTTAACTTCACTGAGCATATCAATACGTTAGTCAAAAAAGCTTATTCTTCACTCTTTCTGCTTTTCCGCAATACTAATGCTAGTTCTCCGAAGATACTTATACCGCTTTATAAAGCATTAGTTCTTCCTCATTTAGAATACTGTTCTCAGGTCTGGTCCCCCTTTCGTAAAAAGGATATTCGCAGAATTGAAAAGGTTCAACAGCTTTTTACACGACTGTTGCATAGACGTTTATCGCCCGGAACCACCCCTCCCGATTACCAGACCCGGCTTGAGAGGTTTCATATGAAATCCTTAACAAACCGTCGTGCTTTCTTGGATCTTGTATTCTGTTTTCAAGTTCTGAGAAGAGAGAACAAGCTAAAAGCCAGTAAATACTGGATTTTTGTTCCTACAAGCGAAAGGTCAGGCTCTTTTAACTTGCAATATCCAAGAATCCGGCGCAAGAGATACTTGCTGATGTTCAACAACGTGTTCTACAGGTCGGCTAGGTGGCTTTCGCACCTCCCGGTTGAGACCACTAGTGCAGAGAGTAGTCATATTTTCAGGAGTAGACTGAGAAGGCTTGACTTGTCAAGTATCGCTAACACTGATTAGTGTTGCATGACAGGGCGAGCCTTCTGCATTAGACCTTTTGGGCTTCCATTGGGTGCTTTGGATGTGCTATGATGGCGGATGGAATCGCTTTGGGCTTTGTTTTCTATCACCTTTCTTCTCCATTTTGCCTCTAAAACCTGTCTTTTCAGGTGCTCGGTGATCTTGCATTGACTTGCGGGTTCAGTTGTGGCTGTAAATTATCTCTTTGATGCCTCTCGTGTATCTCCTCACGTTGCGTCAAACTTTTATTTTTGGTGTACTCGTTTTGTTCTAGTTACTAACACAGTTTCATCAGCGTCTCAGTCCGAGTCTTTTTCGTTCAGCTATCTAGTAGTCAATCGTACAGCTTGCTATTTCGACAAATGGATTCAATGAGAATCGTTTCACCTTTGGGGTCATTGGGCCTCCCCAGCATTCCGGCTAGGTTGGGTTATGGTTATTATACCTGAGCCAGTAGACCTGCCTTATAAGCCGCCGGATTGCTTTTAAGAGTAACTAAAGATCGTTCCGCTGGCAACGAGGGGGCATGCGTCCCATCTCCATGGATTCAAAGTTTTGGAGTTATAAATCTCATGCCTACATCTGCATACTTATTTATTAGCCTACCAACATATTCAGTGCAAGCTGTTTTATCTTCTCACATTAGTCTGATTAGGATCAGACTCGGACTGACATGATGATGTCTGCATTTGTTTACATGTCTTGTTCGTTTCCGCTGTATTACTAACTTCTTGATGTGTCTTTTTTTTTATGGAACGCCTTGAGCGTACAAATGAAATGAAATGAAATATATCTAAGATACTACTCATTTATTAGTCAGCTGCGAAACTTTACAATTTACAATAACCGATTGCGATTGGAGCTCGCTTTCCGACGCTGATCATAACGCTGTGGCCCTATTTGGGGCTGTATCGAAGCGGTGCCTTGGTGGTTTTGAAAGCGGATTTGAACATATAGTAATACTCTCAACCTAGTCCACATTTATGTAAATAAATCCGGGAAATTATGTGAAGGGAAGCAGGGAGCCACCTGGGGGAGCCACCTAATTTCGAAAAACACTTACCATTTTTTAAATTCACATAAGTTTCTCATAATTCTTCATACTTTTTTTGTGCTCATGGTCCTCCAACTACACAGCAAATTTGGTGCCATATCGTTACTTGTGCATTGAAAACGAGCCTATTTTGTTATTTTCCTCTTACAAGAATTGCGATTTGAATTCCCGCCTGCGGGCAGGCTAGCGATCGGAGCACAGAATCTTCACATTGCTGAAATCTAAGTTCATAGGACAGTAGCATCAACAAGGAATGATGAATAAAGAATGATATGTTTATTGAATGAAGAATAAAGAATGCATTGTTTATTGGTAAACAAAGGGGAAGTCGTATTTTGGGGTCCGGGGCTCCGCCCCGGACCCCAAAATACGACTCCTTTGCTTTTTCGGGCCAAAAACGATATCCAGCTTGTGAAAGCGCCACCCCCGCCGGGCCCTGAGTAGAACACCATGCTGCCAAAACTAATTAGTGATTAAAAATCAAAGTTTCATATTTTTAAACATACTACCAGTCTTCCAGATGATCTACTACAAGACGTTAGCAGTTGGATGTGCGCATAAATATTGCTCTGAAAGGAAATACATCTCCGTGGCATGCGTTTATGGAGCTGTGTAAGTTGCTTGTTTCACGTGACTATGGCATTTACTCTGACATTCGGTGCCAGGGCCCGGCACCGATGGTTTGGGGTCAAACTGGACTTCGTTTTTGGAGTTAGAAGCAACGGGGACATCGTTTTTGTGAGGTCCTGGAGGAAGCGCCAAAAAAAAAAACACGACGAACATGTCAGGTTTCACGAGTTGAACGAGTTCTTTCGCAAGCGCGCGAATTTCAAATGCAAGACTCAAACAAACAAATGGCTTGTTTACAGCGCACAAACAATCACATGGCCCCGAATTTGGGCTATGAGTATACAATATTACTCCAAACTATATTATGTAAAAAGTTTCCAAAACTTATGTGTCTGAATACCCGTTCCGGATTTGTTGGTTTCTAGACCAACCACCGAACCAACTGGGTCGGTTCGGAGCATAAATTTCGGGGAGTTTACATAAGTTTTGGACCTTTTTGATTTAGACGATTAAAACGCTCAAAAATCTATTATATAGTGAAGAGAGCGAGTCAAACTATTGCCTCTCCTCTCTTCTTTTGAGCCAAAAGTAGTGCAGTTCTGCGCGTTGATAGATATCGCGCTCCAATCACATGCGGTGTCCTTTGAACTATGTGGCGAAAAATGCATCGCCGGGTTGTTGAGGCCACAGATTTGGTTGGCCTAGGAGGTTTTCGATTTCCGAGCACTAAAATGGTGCTATACCCAATGGCAGAGCCTTTAATCTACTCGAAATGTATTGTTTTTGCTTTTTTGTTATCTTATATATAAAGCTGAATGTCTGTTTGTCTGTATGTCTGTCTGTCTGTCTGTCTGTACGTATGTTCCGAATAGAAAATTCCATTTCTGAACCGATCGAAACCTGGCACACATACACTTCGGGCCCCGGCGGGTGTCACAGTTCACTTTTTGTTGGCTAGCTAGCTAGCCTAGCTCAAATTTTCCAAAAAAATCGATAAAATCGACATCAATCGATAACAAAAAGTGGACTGTGACACCCACCGGGGCCCGAAGTGTATGTGTGCCAAGTTTGGTTCGGATCGGTTAAGAAATGGAATTTTCTATTCGGAACATACGGCGGAGCCGGGTAAGCCAGCTAGTACTATATAACTCAAAATGCGTTTTTTTTTCGCTTTTTTATTGTTATTTTGGTTGAATAAGGATTTCCCTATTGATTTTTACGTCGAGAGGGACTTCGTAAATTTCCGAAAAGTCATGGGGGACTTCGTTTCCAAAAAAGCTCCAAACCAACGCGTGCCGGGCCCTGTTCGGTGCGTGCGGCGCGCGCTTGTTAATGGCCAGCAGTGCGGCCCGCGGCCTAGATTTACGGGCGGGGTCATGTATCTTGCGGCCCGCGCGCCTTGTATCCTTTGCGTACAGCCCGCGCGCCTTATATTTTTTGCGTACGGTCCGGGCGCAATATATTCTCCCCGTGCCGCCCCCGCGCGCCTCCAATTCTCACACGTTATAAGCATAATGGATATCCGCGTAAGGTACGACGCTATGATTAGGCTGCGCCATCACTTGTGGAGCTGACTTAGATATCATTTCTTGGCATTTGAGTAATCGCAGGAACATAAGAAGTTTTTTGCTTCTACGGAGGTTATCCCTCGACGGCGTCCCGAATGGGTGCTAAATTTGAATTTTTGAATTCTATGAATTCAAATGCAAATTTTGAATTCGAAATTTTTTTGGACTGTGAAGTTGAGAGTGCTCACGGCACGATGAAAGAAAAAAAGAAGATTCATGTGAAAGATTTATTATTTAGTAGCTTGCGGACGGAGCGCTTTCGATACCGTGCGGCCCGCGCGCATTCACCGTTCGGCCCGCGCACATTCGTGTTCGGCCCGCGCGCGCTACAAGGCGCCGCACGGAGAGCGCGCGCGCGCCGCCCGCACCGAATGTCAGAGTACGTAACATTGCTCTAATTACGATTGCTAAGGAAACAGGAGAGTCTGGCTGGAAAAGCTACAATTTGGTGAAATTTTGGTTCGTATTCAAATGAGTACAAAAATGATATAGACTGATGAATACGGCCGATAGCCATCGTCTCGCGAACCACTTGTCCATCCACACTTGCTATTGTTTGTCTGGTAGGAACCGATAGTCCACCAAGGAAGCGCTACTGACTAATCGTTGTTCTTCTCCACCTTTAACGCCTATAGCCGGAGTGCGGGGACTAGTAGTTCGCGGAACTGTGCCTATAAACCGTGCTCTTCGTTTGAGTCAAAGATGAATAGGCTTAGATGTATCTTAAAGACTAGACCAGAGGTTATACCTGTTGCCCACTCCATTAACTCGATTCAGATAGGGGTTTGCGGATAGAAGAAATCAGAAAAAGGAATGATTACGTAGGCCTTCAATTTGTCAGAGCTTCACTTAATTTGGAAGATTTTTGCTCAGATATATAGTCACTGTGTCATTGTTCTTATGGCGATTATCATGCGAAGTGACCTTTCTTTTTCAGTGGAAAACTTTTTTCCAAAATTACCGATCTTACATGGAATAAAGTAAGGATAGAGCTACTTACAATTTGAAGGGAAGCATCGCATGATGAGTCTCGAAGCCATCACCATAACAGCAGCAATAAGGCACATAGATAGTAAAACCAGTGACAGCCTCTGCAAAGCTGAGGTGACGCACTAGTATGTGATCATCTATGTATGGGAGGAACCTACGCTGAGGTGCTTGGGCTCTAAAATCAGCAATTTTTCTTGATTTTTCTTTATAAGTGTTCAGATGTACCCTTTATATGTGATCAACTAGGTACTAACAAGGGAAGGAAGCTTTTTGAAGTGGCATTTCCATATGACATGTATGTATCTTATAGGGCATAAAATGCTGATTTCAAATCTGCTTTCGGTATCTGCAAAGTATTGGGAGGGAAGTTATGGAAATTTTGATGCAAAATTCTGAAAGCGCCAATACAATAAAACCATTCAGAACTTTAGTCCGTGAGCTTAGATATGTGGGCACGATCACTACCAGGGCGTTTTATACGATAAACAGTTTCTGTCTAATAAACTCATGTCATTACTCCTTTCAAGCGCCGAAAAGATTCTTAACACGTTACCATAGCCAAATCATTGAATTTCTTTCACCTCAAAAAATCCTAGAACTCCTCTTCCAAATTGCTTTACAGATAATGAATGCAGATTCGGAATCTTTCATGCTCTATAAGATAGCATACATTTCATATAGAAACGCCACTTCGACCAAGTATTCTTCCCTTGTAAGTAAGATATTTTGAGGCGCTTCGATTTTTGGCCATAAACTTGTTCGTAAATTTTCTCCCAAATTTCACATAGATTCTAATTTTCAATAATGTCTTGCTCAATTCATAGAGTTCAATTCGTTCTATCAAATGATACGCCTATGCAATTTCGCGTCCACACTGTAATCCTTTTATCTTCGCATTAAACAAAAATTTTACTGGCACTAGCCTATTTGTTGGATATTCAAAGCACACAGCACAGGCCTGCCACATGAGACCTATACGTGAAATAGCAACAATTCAACACGAATATGAAAGCTTTTCAAGCTACTCGCCGGCTGGAATTTCAGACCGGAAGTCGGACAGCCTCTCTATTTTGCCACTGTTACTGGAAAGAGCGGTTGCACTGCAAGTACAAGTTGTAGAAAGGTTGTACCCGGCTCAGGTACGACGTGTCTTCTTGGGCAACCGGTTGACGAACATGGAAACAGTATGGATGGTCTTTGCTATAACAAGGATGTACATTTTGTGGAACGTAAGCGTTGTGCTCTAACGAGTCACTTAAGACTTTGAAGTCGTTTAGCTTCTACTGTTTCACAAACATTACCAACATTGGGACAGACTGTGATGACGGATGAACTTCGCAACAGTTTTCTTGCAATTCACAACTATCGTAGGTTAGTCTTGCAATTTCCTCAAGGGAGTCATAGGGACCTGTCATACTTCGCCGAAAAAAGCCCGAAAAAGCCGAAAAAAGCCCGAAAGAGCCCGAAAAAGCCCCCAAGAGCCGGAACGCAGAAACGAAATTAATCAATCAATCTAGCCGTAAGAACCATTATTATTAACTCGTACGAATTTACAACGATATTTGAAGCAAAGGCAACATGTATAAGGCTATTATACTTATCTAAAGCTTGGAGACTCTCGAAGGCATCATCGTTGTCTCATTTTCTCAAGGCACAAATAATTTGAGAACAGCGATTGAGCAACCGTCATTCGACAAACATTTTCAGCGCTTGTTTAGATTTTTTCACAGCTTTGACTCCAATGACAGCATGATACAATGGGAAAAATAATAATGCAGAACAGATTTTGCATCTTATAAGAGTCATTATTAGAGACACTCTACCAGTTGGAAAGCTTCAAATAATGCAAGCGCCCGTATGATGGAGTCAATTTAGATCCTCCCTAGCTTTGGGAAATGTTCGGAATGGAGCGGAAGGAAACACCAATTGCCCTATGGCTCAAAATATGTATCGAATGGTAAAACATATTTTGCTATAGCCTCATTTGTCAAGCAACAAAACTTTACAACTTTTCCGTTTAGAAATGTATTTTTTATTTGTTTTCCTGAACAAGGATGTTTAGGTGTACGATAATAGTTTGGAGACAGAAGCACAAAATTATGCGAATACTTGTCCTGCAGGAGATTCGGATGTCTCGACGAGGCCCAATTCTGGTGAAAATACACATATTCTCGACAACGGAACGATATTATATACTCAGGGATTCGCGCCGTGCGGGCGGTCCTCATTAAAGCTCCTCCGCCTGAGCGCACTGCATAGTTTTTGATGTACCGTGCGTGCGGTCAACAATAAAAATGCCGTGCAAGCGGAAGACAGTCTTCCCGTTCGATCGGCACGCAATAAAATCGACCGTGCAAGCGGCAGGCAATGCGTCCGCACGATCGGCCAGCAATACTTGATCGTACAAGCGGCAGGCAATCTCGCCGCGCAATCGGTACGCAATAAAATCGACCGTGCAAGCGGCCAGCAATGCGTCCGTCTTATCGGTCAGCAATACATGTTGCCGTGCAAGCGGCCAACAATGACCTCTATTTTCTGCTCACTATTTTCACACATTGTGAGCGTAAACGGTACCTGTGTGAGATACGACACAGTGTTTAGGCTGGCCAAGCGTTTACACATGGTGTTATCAACATTTTCTTCTACCAGCAAGGCTGGAATGAACCTGTGTGAGGCTACAATTATCAAGAGTGATGGTGAGGGCTTCCCCATGAAAAGTTTGGCAATGCTGCGAGCATCGATCCGTGTTCCCAAAATGTGCAAAGGATTGATCTATCCAAGAAAAATGGTCAAGATATCGCAAATACATCTACTCCAAGAGCAAGCGAGCGGCCGACTTTCTCCGCGCAAACGGCGAACATTAGAGACCGTGCGAGCGCTCCACGTTAACCGTGCCAACGGCCCTTGACGACCGTACAATCGCACACACCAACGAGCGATTGTAAGGTCGTCGCTGGCCGCCCGCACGGCGCGAGTCCCTGAGTATGGACGCGTCTGTGGCTGTGAGTAACTACATGAAATCTATTTGATTTACAGTACTTTTCAAGAATGACTTTAGGCTATGCAAGCCTGGTGGAGTGAAATTTTCATACAACACATAGATTTTTCGCAACCCTTCAGCCGCGTCTCAGCAATGCCAGTCGCCCCTACAAAATTTACTCAGGTGTGAATCTATCTCGACTATGTTTTTCTTGATATATCTGATTTAACTTACAATTAGTTGCTTCATAATCAATCTCAGCACTTTACTTCGGGTTCCAGTTCTCTTAACATATACAAAAATGATAATTCGTACAAGGATTAATTGGTGATCATGTTCTATGCTATAGCCCAGTTCTTTGGGACTCTACTGCGAAGAACGAAGGCGGTAGTAGAGTAGATTTGTCAAGTAACTTCCTTTGCAAGTAACCGGGCAAAGGAGGGCATCTAGGCTTAGCCTGGTGAGCGTCTCCTCCATACATTACTCGTTCTTAAAAAATAAGCAGTAGTATTTAACGAGGGACCATTAGTCGGCGAAGGCCATTTATTTTTAGTCGGAGTCCTCCTGCACACAAATGCTAGATTAAGCATTGGTTGGTTGAGGTCCATGTGAGTATATCATTGACCAAGTAAAAGCGGCAGAAACGATTACCAAAATTACACTCTTAATTTGGTGCATGCAAATTTTGCCATTGTGTAGGTTATGAAGTAAGTTATAAGTGCAGTTGCTATTTTGTCATTTAACGTGCAGTGAGAGTTACGTTAGGAGAATGTAAAGGGAGAAAGTTATGAAGTTTGACGGATGGCAGAAACTTTGCATAAGGGTTTATCTGACATGCCGATCACGAAAGCGATACTGAATGCGTAATAAGGGGTTTTTTTTGTAAGATTACCTTTGGTGTACAATATAGGAACATCACGAACAAGGAAAGAAACGTTATTTGACAACGAATCTGATATCTATGTTTAGCAGGTCAACTAACCTTACTATGTGACTCAGCGATTTTGAGGTTCTTATTCCTTATCATTCACTAGCTGGCTTACCCGGCTCCGCCGTATGTTCCGAATAGAAAATTCCATTTCTTAACCGATCCGGACCAAACTTGGCACACATACACTTCGGGCCCCGTCGGGTGTCATAGGCTACTTTTCGTCATCGATTGATGTCGATTTTATCAATTTTTGCAAAATTTGAGCTAGGGGGCTGGAATTTGGCAGAGGGGTGTAATCGAGCATCAGTGCTGATCACCCCCACGGGGATGATCAGCATGCTCGATTACCCCCCCTGTGCCAAATCCCAGCCCCGTAGCTCAAACTTTGCAAAAAAATCGATAAAATCGATAAAAGTAATGCACGATTTTGAAAACTAATATTGTATTCGGAATCCCCATGCTCACTTACCCCCCTCTGCCAACTCCCAGCCCGTAGCTCAAATTTTGCAAAAAGTCGATAAAATCGATATCGATCGATACGAAAAGTAGCCTATGACACCCGCTGGGGCCCGAAGTGTATGTGTGCCAAGTTTGGTCCCGATCGGTTCAGAAATGGAATTTTCTATTCGGAACATACGTACACACAGACATACATACATACATACAGACAGACAGACAGACAAACAGACATTCAGCTTTATATATAAGATTGACGGTTGTCCCCAGCGGCTTGCGTAAGGCGACTCGTTCGCCTTTGTAAGGACGCCAAATCTACCCCCTAATTTTTATTTCTTCCTTAATGGGCCGAATGATTCACCCTCTAGCAACAATTCGTATACAATTGTGAACTATTGCGCATGGTCTAAGCTGTTGACGGTTTCATTTTGGCGTATAAGCCCGAAAATCCTTAGGATTCACTAATTCCCAAAAACTACACGTACTTTTTCTAATCTGTGGTCCAAATTTAAATTGTGCGCGGTTGTAGCACACATCGCTCTACATATTGCCAGAGTTTGAGTGTACCATATCCAGAGAGTAAAGTCATGAAATAAGTTGCGAAATTCAGTTTCCATTACAATATTAAAGCTTCAATTTCATCACCTGAACCAGGTAGCAGAGCCCGGTCGGTCGTGCAAGAGGCCCTCTGGTGTCGCGAACATGTCAGATTGGGCGGACTGACAACGCCTTAAAGGCAGTGTCCCACCAGACTGGGGATATCTGGCTCTCGTAATAATGTAATAGAAGACCCCCTACGTAAGCGATGACTGAAGTTCGGAGCGAAAAAGGGGGTCTACAAAGCCTGAAATTTGCTCCGAAAGTAGGCCGAATCTTACGGTAGGATCGGGCGAGTGCGAGGTGCATGCAAGGTAGAGACGCAGAGTGGTTGCGGGTCCCTGCGCTCATGATGTGTGCGCTATACGCATTCTGGCCCTGCAAATCAATATTGCCTGTGGGCGGCGTGGCCCTACCGTAAGATTCGGCCCACCGGAGCAAATTTCAGGCTTGGTAGACCCCCTTTTTCGCTCCGAACTTCAGTCGTCACTTAGGTAGGGGGTCTACTATTACATCACTACGAGAGCCATGTACCCCCAGTCTGGTGGGACGCTGCCTTTAAGCCCTTTATAAGGCATTATGCAAGAAAGGATTCTTTAACAAATATTCTAAACAGCCTTCCTTGAACTGAGGCGTAATGATTCTTATCCGAATCGACTTTAAGGAAGTGCTGTTGCTATACGGCGTTATAATCCTCAGCTCCACAAAGCTTCCTGGCTTTATATGCAGACAAAATGTTTTTCTTTCCCTCTCTCAAAACTCTCGTAGCCCTCTCATGTTTTCCTTGTAGCGAAAACATTTGACCATTTGTGTCCCATTTCTAATTCTATTCATATTGAGCAAAGCCTAGATGCATGAATGCATATTTCTAGATGGCATGGTCTGCTACTTACAAGCTCGGCTGTGGAATGAGCCGTTGCAACTCCAACACCCAGACTGTCGTGGTTTGCCGCTACAGTCCACGGTAAAAGGCACTTTTCAGTAGCAGCACTTTTACTTTACAAAAACAATTCAGTGGGAATATTGGGGTGGGGGAACGAAAGCCGCCAGGTCCAGCCGCCTCCGCGGACTGCTGGTCCTGGAACGACATGCAACAACGCTGCGAAAGGACCAGCTGGCCGCGAAAGGCGGATGGACCTGGCGGCTTTCGTTCCCCCACCCGGAATATTGACTCACAGTACATCTACAAGGATTGCGGTGGTGTCGGTGATAGCAGATGTGCATGTGCAGGTTGTTGGGGCCAGTGCAGCGAAGGACTTTGCAATACGCCCTCAAGTTGAGAAATGCAATACGTTACACTCTGTGGTGTTGTAGCTAATTCAACATCTATAATTCAAAGCATGACTGAAGCGATTATATCTTGTCATTGCCACTGAAGTAAAATTTACTTTCGTATAAAATAGCTGTAGATTTGCGTTAGCTCTACACGCTCATGCTTTTCATCTACTAGCACCTTTGCGTGGACTGCAATGAAGCGCATGCGTCGTTTTTCTCAACAACAATCTTTGTCTATGTTACCACAAAGCCAGGAAGAGTTATGGAAACACAAAGCTGAGCGTTCAGACATAAACAAATGCACATTTTGCTACTAACCAAATAGATCCGTTCATTCGCTTTCAACCAGCATACTGTGATAACAGTAATTTTTATTTTTCCACACTTGGTACGTAAAAACTACCGTATCCTTTGGCATCAATGGCTGAGCGAGTTTGGGAAAATGCCCTCAGACACGGAACATGTTTGCGATTGCTTTGAATGGTCCAAGCAGGCGACTCGCGAGAACCGGAGCCGCGCCGACTGTGACACTTATGGAGTGGAGTCCCCTTAATGGGCACTCAGCTTGGAGAAACACTTTAAATCTCTTGAAAGTATCGCGAAGTCGCAAATCTGCAATCAATTGCTCTGTTCGGATTATGCTTAGGCTTTAGACTTGGAACAACCATTTCAATTAGTTGTTAAGTATCTATGCAAATTTTCAACTCCAGTTTTTCTTCTTCCTGAGTCCGGCTTTAATCGGTCTCATACGACATGTCATGTTAGCACTCCGTTGTGTACCTTTCTTTCACATTATCCCGTCAGAGGCGCATGCGTGAATCCCGAGGAGAGCGAGGGAAAGCAGCTTTGTAGAAGCATCTTGTCCTCAAGCTTCAGAGATCAGATTTCACGCCGTCTGTTCCCTTAACTGGTTCTAGTAGCTTTACCGTAAAAATCTAAAGTAGGGATGCGTTCTACAGGTTACCCCAAAATTTCTTTCCGATTTTAGAGTTAAAGTCTTTTCGTTTCTTTCCGTCATCAAGTACAGCTAAGGTTACCATTCGATAGGGCACAAGTCCTACGAGATGGTCACCAAGCATCCGCCATGGTATTCCACTTGAGCTTATGGTTATTCTGGTAGTAGTGAAAAAAAAAAGAGTTAAGCTTTGATCATGTATCTTCGTTCCAAAACGTCCTACAGATCCCCCACACAAATACTTGATACATCTTACCACACTCTAACATAAGAATCTCTATTTTTCTACAGTTAGAAATGAAGAAGTGATAGGAGTAAAATGGCAAAATGTTTCTAATGGTTCTACGTTCCTCTCACAAGTAGTTGAATAGTTTATGCACTGAGAAGTACAAACAATTTAGACCAAGTCAGTCAAGACTACCAGATCTTTAAGCCATTTTTCGTGAATTTAATTTCTTTCAAAATGTGCAGCTTTATCGTGTTTGTTAGCAATTTGAATGCTTCAGCAACTTTTCTTCTCAACAGATACTGTTCAAAATAACATTAGTGAAATGGCAATCCAAAATCATCACAGACTCGCACTCCTCCATCTTTCTCCATTGACTTCATCATGCATTGCATGACCGCAGTGAACAGCTTTTAAACAGTATCATCCTTAAAAAACTTCCATTTTGATTTTCGAGTTGGCATAATGCATATGATTATATTTATCTTGTTAACACATTGACACAACGCAAGTTTTTGATTGTCTGTCTCTTGGGACCAAGACCTTTTGGGACTGGTCAGCGTTTTTCAGATAAAACCACGCATACTGCCATCTACAGTATACCTACAGTAGCTACGGAATGCTGAAAAAGAAGATAGAGGTCATTTCTAGATTCACAGCAAAAGAGAACTTCTGGAATGTATTTGTGCCAAGATAATCGTCACTTCAACGAAGTGCGAGCCTTGACACACCATGGGTGTCAAGCAGTCCCGCGTGGTAGTTATTGCTTGACACACATGGTGTGTCATGTAGTCAATGTGTCAAGCGATCATGTCCAGCGAGTTGCCAAAGGCTTAGATAGGATGGGGTTTAAAGTCGAACTGCTAAAGGAGATAGTATCCTTAATTTGGACTCATTCTCATAATAGCTGAAAAAAGAACGATGACAAGAACTACGCTCAGCAAAGCTTTGCACTACTCAAAACTGTTTTTTTACTAGTCCGGGCTTTTGTCTTCAAAAATTTCTGCATGTCCATAAAAGATTGGTTTTGTAAAAGGGTGATACATAACGATTAGCAGACATTTTTTAGGCGAATTCCGAAATTTAGTTTGCATTTTTAATTAGTATGAAAGTTCTCAGATATATTACTAACCTCACAATCGTGTTGAAGACTACTAGAACCTTGAAAGAAATGTGGTTTAATTCTGAAGCTGTAATCATGCGTAATCTTGCAGCGCATTCTTTGACAAAAAAGCTTCATTGTAACTTTTTGAAGCATACGGAGATCGCACGGTTAAGACTGGTGTACAGATTCTATGCGATTGCCACCTTTGGCCTCGCCTTCTTATTCAGTAGAATTCTCAACACAGTTTGATGATCGCAAATATATCAGCATTTTTGAGAAGAAATTAATTTTTTAAACAAAGCCTTTGATTCTCGCTCTTTTTCTCAAAGTCCTACTGCGAAGCTAATCGTCTTCTACAATCGTTCGAACTGGAGTACATTCAAATCCAACTTCTTCCCCTAAAGACACTGTCCATGCAAAGTTGAGGTATGTGAAAGATCAGGTCCATGTGAAAGTGAACTCTCTAGGACAAGCCTTCACACAGATGCGCAGTCATACAAAGCACAGGCAAAAGCTCGGCATGTTGGAAAATTTACGCACTAGCGGACTTCGCCCACTCTTACGGGTTAAACTGCAACCTGCAACATGCCGCTACAATTAAGATGATACGGGACTACAGTACCAACACTGCCGCCTTGAAATCCTACGATATAAACGCGCTGTCGCGCCGGAAGTGCCGCATCGCGATAGTTCGCCTGTACTTCAACCAATCGGATTCTAGTTTGAATATTTGGAATCAGCGCCTTCTGTTCTATCCAAAAGTGTTTTCAAAAGTTCCAAAATTTCCTTCACAAAGATCTTTTTTTAAGACCATCGGCGGTATAAACGCATTGCCGCGTTGGTATGGCCGCGCCCCCATAACTTTCTTCAACCCAAACATATGACATTCTAGTTCAAATATTTGTAATCAGCATTTCCTAAACCAGCTAAAAACGTTTTCGAAAATTCCGGAATCTTGCTTACGAGTTTTTTTGGCTCCAGGCCAGCGGCGATCTAAACTCAATGTCGCGCTCGAAGTGCCGCATTACTGTAGCTCGGCTCGAAGTCTGTCAACTGAAATTCCGATCAGATATTTGAAATCAGCGCGTTTTTATCTACTTATGAGTGTGCTCAAATATTACAGGGTCTTTTGTCTTGGTACTTATTTGCATTATCGAGCGATAAATACGACGATATGAACGCCATGCAACGTCGGAAAAGCCGGATTGGTGTAACCTTCTTCATGCTTTCCCCAACAAATTCTAATGTTGATATTCAGAACAAGCGAGTTCCAAGCTATCTGAGGATATGCTCAAAGTCTGTAAAATCCTAAATTTTTTCCCAGGTTTTTTTGGTCCCTCATAGCGCCCTAATTAATCAGGCTGGCTCTGGCCATAGCCGTAGTGACCTCACTGTATCGATTTATTATCAAAGTTATCAGTATGATGACGCATGATGTTCTTGTTGAAAACATAGAATTTGTAGTCTGGCTCATAATTCTAGAATCATTTACGGCTTCCATGAATTTTTCAATTGGAAAGATCAGTTTCAGTTTTTTTTAAATGGATAATTCGAAAAGTTGACTTCGTAACATAAGTAAAATAGGCATTGAAATGCTTTGTCAATAAATTACTCTATCAAGCATGATGCAGGTTGATTTGGATGTCCATGGATAGATCATCTCACAGATGCGAAGTACGGGTTTCAATGACTTGTATTTTTTGATGCCACATGCCTAAAGCAAAACGGTCTGGAACTAGTATAGCCCAAGTAATGCTCTAAACGATTGCATTGAAATGAGACTATTATATGTAAATTTCTTAAAGATACATGCACTTGAAATGAGGTGTGCATGCTCCACTGACAATGTGGTGCCTCTTTTCCAAGACCGTAATACAAAAGATAGATGGATTGAAGAGCCAAAACTTCGGCTATGTTCTGAGTGATACCTGCTGTACATATTTCTCATCTTGGAATATTCGATTTTGAGAAAAGGACCGTCTGGTGATCGGTGGAAGTGTGCAAAAAAAAATCAAATTTCCGCAAATTTCGATCAAATCTAGTGTTATCTTAAAGCTGCCAACTTCCAAGTATTCTGAATCTCCGTGAGAAATGCTGCTTAAGAATGTATGAATTGAATATCTTAGCATCACCTAAAGATCCCTCATTTTTGCTTCTATCTTAATTACGGCTGCCATAACCCTAATGGGTGCTCCTGCACCCAGATCTCTGTACTGTTGGATTCGCAGCCAGAGGCACGTGTTCACTTCTTAGCTAATTAGGAAACAGAGAATTCGAATCAATCCGTTCGAGACTTTACTTTTGTTTAAAGTGCTCCTGGAAGAACCGTTTGGTCCATTTCGTTTCATTTTTCGAACGATTAACAGAAATGATGGCATGAACATTTTGTTATATCTTCAGTAGTTTTGTAATGGATTGTCCGTTTTCACAAAGTGTTCGATACTCTATTCTCTGGGTAAGCCATGGAACTTCCGTCGCAAGCCAAACGGTAATTTCAAAAAATATCGAAATTTTTGAACCCTCAGATGCGATATTTCCATATTTTCGGGAAACTGTATATTTCAGACAGCTTGGCATCGTGAGATCATGCATTCTTCTAGCATCATCTCAGCATTTTACTGAATGAAAATGGTTAAGAATATCCCCACCCAAGTGACACACGCCATGAGCAAGGAAGCAAAGTTATCGACGATGTCATCCAGATATCGATTAATCAGGAGAATATTGCTCAATAGTCGCAAAACTTGTAGTGGATTTACGACGAAGTGACCACATGAAATAATAATTTGCCTAGATCAAAAAACTGCGTTGGTGTTTGAATTACGAAAATTTTTTTTGTAATTTTGAAAAATTCAAAAACAGAAAATTCCAAACTCAGCCATTTGACCGATTTGATTCAGAATTTGACTTCTTTCTCGGAAATTTAACCATTATCTTGAAAGACGCATTGCGCTTCGTTTGCTGTGAAAATGCCAGTGGAAACGAATAATTCTCGAATTTGATCGAATAATAATTCGATCGAATTTAGAGAATTTCTATGTTAAACTTTTTGAAATCCACATTTGATCTTTCGATATTTCGAATATACAACCTTCTATACCTTCATTTTTTGTTTGGGCGACGAAACTTTTGCCTAAAGCCATAATTGTAATTTTGCAATTTTTTAAAAAATTCTTGAATGTGCTTGATACTCTCAGTGTTAAAGGTCTGGAATTCTCTATCGTAAGCTGTAGAAAGCTTTTGAACCTTTTATGAGAATCAGAAAGTTATGACTTTTCAGCAGTTTAACTCTGAATACGATCCTTGCACGAATTGCCGAGATTCGTTGGAAAGTTCTACTAAAAGTACCAAGGTTAGAGTTACGGCATTACCCCCAAATCAATTTTCATTCTGCCACGGTTTTGAAGTAATCTGCGTAGATCATAGTGCTAGAATCCATAATTACCTCGATAGAATGCCTGAAGAGCAGTCGGGTGGCTGCACACTTCTCGAAAAGATTGTTTCAAAACCGTCAGAATGAAAATTGATTTGGGGTAGTTCCGTAATTGTGATCTTAGTACTTTTAGTAGAACTTTCTAACGACTCTCGGCAATTGCTGCAAGGATCGTATTCAAAGCTAAACTGCTAAAAAGTCATAACTTTCTGATTCTCATAAAAGGTTCAAAAGCTCTCTACAGCTTACGATATGAGAATTTCACTTCAACACTGAGAGTATGAAGCGCTCGGAGAGTGAATTTCACTGATTTTGAACTCGCAGGCTGAGAAGTCAGAGTAAATCAGAAAACTTAACGGACACCGTAATTTTTCGACATCGGTCCAGAATTTTGAAACTTAAAACTGAATTGAGCGCGGAGAAAAACAATGCTAATCAGGATATCGAGAATAAATTCTATCAAGATGTCAAGGTCCTTGTATCCATCCCGTTTTTAAATTTTGTTATCAACTTGGTGAGATTCTGAAGAAAAATCGATAGGATGAGGTCATCGGGCTCAAGCCGGACCCAGCCTGGCTAATTAGGGCACTATGAGGGGCCAAAAAATCTGAAAAACAGAATTTGGGATTTTCGGGCTTTTGAGACATCTTCGAGTAGCTTAGAACTTACTGGCTCCAAATATCAAAATCAAAATTTGATATGAAAAACAAGAAAAAAGTTACACGAATCCGGCTTTTCCAACGCAACATGCCGTTTATATCGCTGCTAATAATTTGGAAAAGTACTAAGATAGAAGGATCAGCAAAGTTTGGGTAAACTCATGAGTGGACACAAAGATGCCGGAATCAGATATTTTATCGAAATTTTGGTTGAAAGACTTTGAAGCGAGTTACACTAGTGCGGCATTCCCAACGCGACATTGCGTTTAGACCGCCGCTGGCATGCAGCCAAAAAAGCTTGAAAGCAAGATTTCAAAATTTTTAAAACTTATTCATGTAGCTTAGGAGACGTCAATTCCAAATATCCAAATTAAAATTTGATAAATTCAAGTTGACGAAATTTATGGCGGTGCGGCGATACCAACGCGACGATGCGTTTATTTCGCCGAAGGTCTCAAAAAAAGATCTTTGATAGCGAGATCTGGAAATTTTCAAGTAAACTTTCAGATGGTTCAGAAGGCGCTAATTCCAAATATTCAAATTAGAATCCGATTGATTTAAGTTCAAGCGAGCTATCGCGATGCGGCACTTCCGGCGCGACAGCGCGTTTATATCGTAGGATTTCAAGGCGGCAGTGTTGGTACTGTACAACAACTTTGCCTCTCAGCATTGGCGGAAACTGCGGCATTTGTTCAATTACTATTAGAAGAGCTTTGAAAAACGCCTGTTCTCGCAGTTTTCGCGCTTTCTAAGGTGAGTTTTCATACTCAGCGCAGTAGATAAGCCCAGGTAAGCAAAAAATAGAAAAGCACTTATTCAGTTGGCTTATTGGCCCTTTCTCGGCATTCGCATTGCTGAAAGCTTCAGTGCTGTATACAACCTCTTGTGTGCCATTGTGCAAATTTCTCCTCTAACGACATGACTTGAGATCTTTTCCAATATTTTTCAAATCAAATCTACCTTCGAAGAAGACACGGGTCCAGAAGAATCAGACAAAACTAAAAATAACTAAAAGGCACTTCTATACCAAAGAGTAATTAGCTATATACACCAAAATCGTTTAATTTAGTGTTTTCTTTGTATACTGTCCATCGCCATCGACATAGCTTCGTTCCGACACCCTCAGCGTTTTTGTTAGATATCCAGTTAAATGAATAATGAAAACCCAAATTTTGCTTTTTGCAGACCAACGTTGTGGCATCTGATCGTTCTACATTGTCAAGAAAAGCTTAAAGGTTGATATTTGTGAAAATATTAGAGGTGTTAGAGGTGCATAGCACAATAGAGTCTCCAGCAAACGTCAACAAAGTGCCCTTTTTTTGTCGGATCCAAACAATGCCCTAAGCAACCACTTCTATCCTGTTGCCGTCTGTACTTGTATTCCTAATGTGCTGGACGACGCCAACAGTTAAACTGTGCTTTTTGACTGAGCAATGTCAATCACGTTTGGTCATTTTGTCATTTTCACATTTGAGTATGACTAGAATATAATCAAAGCGTATCTAAAATTGAAGAAGCTGTTCATGATAATCTTTGGTAATGGCGTGCAATTGGCAATGACATCTGCCTGGGTTAACACATTCTCTGTACACATGTTGCAATATTTGTTCTCAAATGGCTGAATATCTTATAAACACCAAACTCTACATTGGTAGCATAACTGTAATAAGTTTTAAATTTATAGTATCCTCATGCTTCTAGAATGTCTTTACGAAACGTTTGAGCAAGCAACCCCGTATCTTCTCAGCACTTATTACTGTATAACTAATGCGCAATTATAAACCATATATTAGCGCACACTTGGCATTGGTCTGCCGCATATGAAGTTGTGCAATGGTATTGACATGAATCCTGCGAAATTGACTCCAATGGAGTCTCCAACAGAGGCCACAGACAAAGAATATTCTCGTATATCTGGAGAAACCTACAAACAAGCACTTACTTCAAGTGTATGAAACACTCTAAGACACTACCTTTTTATGAATTTTATCAAATGTGTTCACGTATGCTGCTCCTCCCAATAAGCCTTCGAATACAATAATAGCGAAGATTATTCCTATGCTAGGCACGAACCAATAGAGTGCTTCAAAGAAAAAGAAGAAGAAATTCGTTGCCTGAAATGTCCATGTGTGCAAGCAATTGTAGCAAAACTTGAAAAAAATGCCTTACCTGAAGTATTGGCAACAAGTAGAGAGACCAAGTTGGTAATGCGAAAAACTTCACTGAAGAGCGTGAAATGAAAACTCCAAGTTGATAGAGCACCTCAAATTGCGGGTTTTAATTATGCTTTGACAACTTTTTGTTCTTTCTGGCGTTTGCAATCTTTTATAGAGTGGCAAATTCAACCTCAAATTGCGGGTTTTAATTATGCTTTGACAACTTTTTGTTCTTTCTGGCGTTTGCAATCTTTTATAGAGTAGCAAATTCAGTAAAAAAAACTTGCAAAAAGTTGTGTCTTTGATATGCAAAGTTTTGTTTACCTGATACCAACGGTACTGAGCACTCAGTGTCAAATTGAATCCTTCATGACAGTTGAAGATGACGAGCTGCGTCTGAAAGAAAAGATATGCACAATTGCATCGATAATCGTTACAGTTATCCAGATGAAGATTTCGTAGAATTAAATGCTTGCTTAACTACTTCCGCTAGCCTTTCGGTGGTTGAAAACGCCTTAGGAGAATGGAACATACTTTAGTTTGTTATCTCTTGTGCCGCAAATAATGAATTAAATCTTGACCGCCAAACACAGATAGCAAAACCAGCAACAAATTTAGCTCCTCATTTGCCTTGTCCCTCAGGAAGCACATTTGTTTACTCTTTGCATGAGACGTTTCAAATTTACTTCCAATGTAGAGAGAAAGCACACTGCACCAAAAAGTGGGTATTTGTATTGAAATGCGACTGACATCCTAGAAAAAAACTACTGCACGAAGCAGCACTTTAATTAATTGAATCTCAAAATTCACTCCATCTCAAGGCCCGTAGATATGCAACACGTAAATCCTTGAGGGGAGCTCTGAAGGGACGTGTCATTCTTGCTGCATGGGACCGTACTTGTGCGTAGCCAAACAGTTGGACCTCCCATGACACATACCATTTTGCCATTTTTACCGATGTATGTAAGTCCGCCGCATAATTTGTTTAAAACAAGTTTTGCTTCAAAAATGCAGGACAATAGCGGCAATCCGTTCGAAGGCTATGGCCCGTAGTAAACCCCCCATTGGGGCATCTCTCTCGACGCGGACCGGCGTTGATCTCATCACGCCTCAGTCTAGCATTCGGCGAGCCATTGATCTGGATGCGGATCGCTTCCGAGACATTACAGTCAAGTGCGTTCTTGAAAAAGGAAACACTTAAGCTGGTTTGGTCAAACGGGTAAGCGGTTGGAATTACACGCGCGCGGCCGTGGTTGGAGTCCGACTAGCGACACGTATTTTGATGCATCGCTGGGCAATTTTTTGATAGCGGCCACTACGCAATCGATGATGACCGCTATCAAGGATTTCGCCTAGCAAATACACGGATAAAACAAAAACAGAATTTGTGACGAAAATTTTATGAAAAAACGAAATGGCTGCAGCGTGAATTTAATGAAATGAATAAATAAGTCCTTGTTTTGGACAGCCAGTGAAAAAAAACCAGTGAGGTTTACAAAAAAAAGAATTTTTTTTGTTATCCTCGCCAAAATCAGCTGTTCATCGATCCTCTCCTTTTCGGGCGCGGTTGTGCAGTTTTGCGCCGATTTTGTCTGCATTTTTTGGCAAAGCTGTGTGTATCGTAAGTTACTCAGGAGCAACTTATGTTAGATGCAGTCAACTCTTGTCTGCGTCTCCTCTTTTACACGCTAATTGCATTCCTCTAACATCCGTTCACGTTCAGTTCAACTCAACGTGAACGGATGTGGAACAGTTGACTGCAGCAGATGGACAGATAGCCAACTATCAGTTGACTTGACCATCTTATAGCATGGGAAGGTGGAACATCATCAGTTCACCTCACCGAAGCTTAACTGATGGGATAAGTTGAGTTCACCTCAACTGATCAAGCTTTACTACGGGCCTATGTTTGTCAAAAATGTGTCTCCACTGCAACTTTGTGAAACACTCTTCTATGGGATAAATTCTTAAAACGAGGTTGCTTGATGCGATAGTGTTTGCTGGCTGAAATAAGATACTTTCAGCGTACGCTGGAAGCGCAGCTTACTCAAACCTTGCCAACTCTTGCAAGGGGCGAGTATATGGAAAATTGGAATTAGTTACGATAGCATTATCACTGTGGGCAGCAGTGAGCAAGTTAGGTACTCAGCTACTCCAATCTAACTTGAGCATTGAAGAGAAGAACGAATCTTATTAGGTTGAAGCATGATTCTTGCACCAAAATTTTTGCAATTTTATTCTCTTTAGCTTTAGTGAAAGCTGATTCAATACATGATAGAGAGAGGGAATCTTGTGGGTTTTGCAAATGCTTGCAATGAAAATCTTTGCTGGCTTATGGCTGAGATACGATTACGAGTTGTAAGAGAAATGCCCAAAAAAGAGATTTTGTGAGTTTTGGTCTCTAAAATTACTAAGTCGTGTACTAAAATCTCAGTTGTTCTTTAGTTTTGGTTTTATGACCTACCCTTTTCGACTAAATAAATCGGTAGTGACTGGATGTCATTACAAATAGGTACAAATTTGAAATTTCCATTTCGACATGTTGATTTTGTGGCAAATTGATCTTCTAAATTGTATTAGAAAATATTGCACTTGACATAAGTAACATAGTGTGTATTACGTAAGTTGATAGGTTCGTTTAAAAATTTTTAACAATTTTTTTTTCAGTTTTTTATGCAAGATTTGTGCATGACCTGAAAGAATGCACGCATGTAGAAATTCCATTGCTCTACATCAAAAGCTAACTTTTTTGAAACGATGTGTGTTATAAAATTCTCCCGATTCTTTTCGTGGCCATCAACATTGCAGTATTTCCTTTTGATTTTGTCATGGCATTGTTTATGGTTAATTGTTTAGCTATGTCATTATTAGTGATGGACTGCTCCGCCGCAGGACTCGGCTTGAGATGGTTTTTTCATTTTCTCAAAAACGAAGTTTCCGCTTCAACGATATCCCCTTTGCTTTTTATTCCAAAAAGCGATATCCAGCTTGCCCCGCAAACCACCTGTGCCGAGCCCTGCTCCGCCGTTGACTACATAGAACATACTTTATATCTTTTTGCGTTACATTGTGTATTACTGAGTACTAGCTATAAAAATATGTATTGTGCGCATTTTACGTAATCTTATAAAATTGTTTTTGTTGTGGTATGTTTCGGAAATGATACTGATGATAGAAATATCTTACCACTCCTTGATTTATGAGGTACTCCCCAACATAAACAAGCGCCAAGGGTATCATATAATGTAGTAGAGGCTAGAAAGCGAAAAAGTTGTACAAGTTATTCCTAATTATAAAGAGAAGTCGTACTTACCACTATGTACTTCAGTCTTTCGACAAATGTTAGTTTCCTTTGTGGAACTTTCAAATTCGATTTGGCCTTTCCTTTTGAACTCTCTTCTTCGTTTTCCACACTGCTTATGCTTTCTCCGTGCTTCTTCAAAAACATGTTATGATGCTGCAAACGGGAACCTGATAAAAAGCTCACGACGACTGGTTCTGGAACTATCCATGTTTTAGGATTCCATCCTGGCTGATGAACATCTGTAGGTACAACTAGGATAGCGAAGTACCTGACAGCATCTTACATAAATCCATCATTAGTACAAAAAGGAGAGATATATGAAAGAGATAGGGATGGCATTGGCCTAATTGCTAGATTGCTCTTGACATTCTATTTTTGTAAGTCTACAGTAGCTAAAAATGCGCGATGATTCAAGCAAAAAGCCATTACTGATACTATGGAATGGCCCATAGTCATTGCTACTTTCGTAGTCGTTCTAATAGTCTGCAATCAGTTTTATAGCAGGAAAAAGAGTACCAAAAATAATAATCGCTCGATTGAAGCCTATCAAGAATTATGATTACGGGCTACAGTTCAACAGGCAAATTGTTGCAGACATGGCCCGGCACAAAAATCAGATTTAAGTTAGAACGGTTTCAGGGCAAAAGTTAATCCGTAATGCACTATGTGTAACTATCGGTCCCAGTCTCGCCCAAGACTCCAAATCATTGCACCTGGCAAAAGTGTGTACTCAGATTTCTGAACTTCTTCTACCGTGAGCAAAAGACACTTTGAACGAATTGTCGCAGCACCATTCAGATTGAAATGAGCTTCACCGCCCCTATTTGATTATGGGAAAATTGATTAGAGTATGATAAGTTTTTATTTTTTTGGGGTATAAGTAAACTAATCAATTAATCAATGGGGAGGGGACCAGTGAATCGTTACGAAAAGTAGCCTTTTGGTCTATTATTTATATTGTTATTATTATCATTTATATAAATATAGAAATAGCGTCTTATTTATATGAATATACAGGGTGTCTCAAACGTCTTTAAAGGCAGTACATCGGCAGAAAGAGACCCGTGACAAAACAAGGTCACAGGGTAGGAGCCCCCATATGGAACCTATCGGCCAAGTCCGATCTTTCTCTGCCACGTCTAACCCCCGAAATTTCAAAGCGAAAGCAGCGCTCATCTCCTGTCCTCTCCGAACCCGCTCACCCCATGGACGAGTGAACGCGAAGCCCGTCATGGCGAAGACGCAGAGTCGTTGCGGGACCTCATGCTTATAGCATTGCGGCTGGCGCTCTGACCGCGGAAGTCACTCGTCCATGGGGTGGGCGGGTTCGGAGAGGAGAGGAGATGAGCGCTGCTTTCGCTTTGAAATTTCGGGGGTTAGAAGTGGCAGAGAAAGATCGGACTTTGGCCGAGGTTCCATATGGGGGCTCCTACCCTGTGACCTTGTTTTGTCACGGGTCTCATTCTGCCGATGTACTGCCTTTAAGCCTAGTATTTCCTCAGCTGCAACTGTACGAAGCAACACTGTCACAATTCAGCAGGAATCTTGTGAAGAACCCACAGAATAACAAGGTACACTAAGTTTTCAAGAAACCCTTATTTGGCCTTTACGCAAGCCATCACACTCTTGCGGAACGCATGCATCATGGCAGACAGATAGTTGACGTCAAGAATGTCTCACACCTTCTGAAGCAAGCGTTCCAGACTGCCCAAAATTTAGTGTGGCACAGAGCAAGCCTTGCTTTCTATGACTGACCAGAAAGAAAAGTCAAAGGCTGAAGCACGTCTGCGAGATTTAACAAAAGTGTTAAAATGTAGCTATCAAGGTCTTGAGAACATCAAGAAAACAGCAGTTTTGGTGTGCATGGAATGACTCTAAAATGGTATTTCAGTAAAGAATGCAGAGCTTACAGCTAGGATTAGTCTCAAACTGAATTGGTATTTGAGTTTTCAGCTTTCTCGGATTTTTGTTTCCGAGAAGTTTTTCTTCTTATTGACACGGTACTACTCTAAGTGTTTGCATCTTAATCCTGCATTAATGAATAAAGGCTACTGATTAGTTTTGCACTGTAGACATAAAGTGAAGCTAGCTCTACAATATGCAGTTCGAGATTTCGCAAGAGCTTCGAAGGCAAAAGAGCTATAGATGTGTGAGTAAAAGGTACGTTGACATTGGGTCGTCCTTAAAATCGTAGTATTGTTTGCTCCAAAAACAATATTTTGAGAATGTATAGCACAAGATACGATTTTCTCAAGGAATACTGAAAACTAGACGGAGTACTCATATGCAAAATTTGACTGGAAAGCGAGGAATACTAACAAAGTTACTACGTTGGGAAGTTAGGCTCAAAGACTTTTGGGACACCCTGTAGAAATGCACCGATTGAACATTCCCATCTAAGTAGAACAAGCTTTTACGAGGCTTACGTGCTTCACTTGCCAAAAATGAAAATTCTGCTTTGCTTGATAAATCTCTTGCAGTGCATAAATAACGGTATGATACAAAACCTGATATATAAACGGCATACGAGTGACTACTGCATTACTCTCGGATTCGCTTTTTGACTGGATCAGTGCACTGAATTAAGGCAAATCTGTGGATATTATATTTTTTGATTTGTCAAAAGCGTTTGACAGAGATCATGCTAAGTTGCTTCTCAAGTTGGAAAGCTATGGTGTTCGCGGTCAGCTAATTTCGTGGCTTTCATCTTATCTGGAACGTAGGGGGATGACAGTGCGAATTGGCAATACCTTTTCGAGTCGATTTCGTTGCGTTAGTGGAGTGCCTCAGGGCCTCATACTTTCGTCGCTTCTTTTTCTTGCTTACACAGCCGACTTACCCTCATTTTTGAAAGTCCATCCAGGTATTAAAATCCAGATGTTTGCAGACGATATCAAAATATATTTCTGCTATGATGACAAAGAAAAATCTGATGCTCATCGTGCAATCTCTACCTCAATCATACCTTCGATACATAGAGCCATGTACTCTGGTAACCTCAACTTTGAGCGTCATGATAGAACACAACCTTCACCTGGAAAAGTGTAGGAGGTCATCTGGGGCGAAGCCCCGGATATTATGTCATAACTAATGACATAACCATATAGGGATGAATGTGAATGAGGCAAATATAGCAATGACTAGTGACATCCAAAGGAACCTCAAAAAATCGAAGGATTGCGTTTTTATGGCCTTTTTGCTGAAAAGAAGGTTATTCAAAATTTCAAATGAAAACTGAGACAAAATTTCTCACTTGACCTTTCTTTAGACTGCGATTGAGCGTTGGAAGTTCATGAAAGATGCTGGAGTTCAATAAAAACGAGAAACTGTGCTCAAATCTTGCGCAGAGAGTCGCCACGTAAATGCTGATCTATCTCGTTATGGAGTGATTTTCAAGGCCCACGACGTTGTCAGTGCTCCTGGCCGTCTCATGAGGATCACAACGATATATAATGTTGTAGGGTTTCGTTATGACCCCGTGGAGGTCAATGACCAGAGCCAAATTCCCCCGGCTCTGGTCTGTCTCCGCTGCTCGTCTGCGTCTCCGCGCGTTGCGCGCTACCTCGCTACCTCAAATGCGGGGCGCAGGGCATTTGGCTCTGGTACCCTTTTCTTCGTTGTTCGGAGCCCAATTACGACAATCTATATATCATATTAAACCTCTTGATCTCTATTTTTACGTTGACAACGTCGCAAGATTTTTTTTAAGATTTAGACGAGAAATCTCGAAAAAAAGGCATTTTCGAAAACCTCTTGTTTTATCTTTTAACTCTTTTCAATCGGCTTTTTTAGTAATCGATAGGTCTTGTTTTTGTCTATGATACAGACAACGTCGCCGAGCTTACTTCTTTGCTTATGCCGGTTTTTTTGTGAAAATTACTAAAAAGTGCGTTTTTGTTTACCTTGTTCTTCCTCAGTGCTTTCGCAACGAATTTTCTCCAGCTTGGACGATACTTGCTCAGAATGATGAGCGGAATAATCTAGAGAACGTCGCAGGATACGAAACGACTACGCGGGGGTGAAAATTCAAAGGACGCATCAAAAATCAGATTGGCGTCGATGTGCAACATACCTTTTTAGACGTGTTTAACATGTTCAATTTAGTTCAACAAGTTTTACTTCTTTCGGTCTCCCTACCGCCAGAGCTAAACAACGCTATCTTTGATTGGAAAAGAACTTTGTTCTTGTTGCCACCCAATTTAACCGGCAATTCTGAAGAGGAAACTGCGCGTAGGAAACCACCAAGTTAATGTTTTAAATTTGGTGGTGTGCTACCTCTGCTTTAAATGAATTTTTCAAGTTTCCTGGTTTAATTCATATCTCTTAATTTCCATCTGTTTTTTTTTGAAACAACCTTCACTTTTTATAGGGGACAGGAGCTCAAACAAGTATCACTTTCTAGCCTCTGTCTCTTGCCTATCGAAGGTATGACCTCAATAGAAAGAATGGTCTTTTGGTCTAAAACGTGGAGCCTTCCTGTCAACCCCGCCAAATCAAAAGTGCTGCATTTGGGCAACTCTCAAGGCTGCACCTATTTTTATGATGGTATTGCTCTTGAGAACTGCAGCAGTAGCAAGGATTTGGGCGTCACCGTTGACGAACATTTGAAATTTTCTTCCCATTTTGATTCGGTATCTAGGAAAGCCCTATCCGTTCTTTTTATCATACTGAGAAGTATCCACAGTAATGATCCACTTCTCTTGATGAAACTGTATAAAACTTATGTCCTGCCCCAGTTAGAATATGCGTCCCCTGTTTGGAGCCCGTTTCTGAAGAAAAACATTGAGAAGATCGAAAAAGAGCAAAAAACCTTCACTAGAATTGTCTACTACCGATGCTATCCAAAACCTGACTATCCCCGCTCATTACCGCCTATAAGGAGAGATTATCTGCGCTAAAATTGCATAGTTTGAGTACAGGCGGGTCTGTAATGACCTAATATTCTGCTTTCGGATCTTACGGCTCGGGACGAGGTTAAGACCTAGTCAGTATTGGATATTTAGGCCCTGTGGGGATCGTACAGGCGGACTCGGGCTGGGTTATCGGAAGTTAGGAAAGGAATTTTTTTCCATAGCTTTCAACTCATTTGTATGTCGTACTGCACGGTGGCTCAGCCTCCTACCAAGAGATGCTACCTATTGTAGCACTTCCGCTGAATTTCGAAAGAAACTTTCTTCAATTGATGTAATGCAGACAAATTCTAGAAATTGCAGATGTATGATTTCGAAATCTGAAAATTTTTCGACATTTTTAACAGTTTTTTCTTGACTTTACTTTTTTAGAACACAGAAGGCACAGAAGTGTGAGTGAATTCAGAATCTTGTAAACTGTGTTTCTTTCCTTGTTTAACCGTTCGGACAGGTACTGCCTCTTTGCTTGAAAATCGTTTGAGGAGGTCAGAACCGCTCGTCCAGGGTCCTTGGCGGATTCGTCCGTCGAGGTTAAGTGGTCAGCCAGCCCTGGTACCTTCGACCTTCAACTGCGTTCGGGTAAGGGACTAGGAACTCGGCGGAGGCATTCTCACCTACAGAAGAAGGAGAACGACATGTTGGTCCAACGAAGGGCTTTTTCCACCTGTCTACTTAATCACTTAACCATTTATGAGTACTCTTGTGAGTTGGTTGCCGTTTTTTGCTTTTTTGCTTTGTTTTGGAGCACCTTGTGTGTATTTTAAATAAATAAATAAATAGATGACTCGGCAAGTTTTGAAAAAGCTTGTATTATTGAAGGAGTAGCAAGCTTTTTGCGATTTTCTACAACTAAAATATAGATGGGCGTTTTCCAGTAGTACGGCGATAGCCGTATCATCACTAGTGCCTAGTGATGATAGTAAAACTCCTGATTAGATAACACTTTCCTCTTACATAAGGTTGCTCACTAGATAGGTCATAGATAGAACTAGAACTCGTTCCCCCCTGTTAAAATCCGAGATAGCAACGATAGTAAGGGAGCTTCCAGACCGCGCCGGGACCGCGCCGATTGTCGCTTTTGCAGCCAGTAACTGCTTTCGCGCCGGTTGCCGCTAATGCAGCTGAAGCGCACCGTGTCGGATTTTGTCCTTGGAGCGTCGCGAGAGCCTATTGGCATTGAATACTAAGCTTTTCAATTCTTTTGCCACCACTCTTTTGTTTCCAAGGTCCTCTTCTTTCTGTAAGTATTCATTGCAGGTTCTACGATGCTGGAGTAATCGATTTATTGTCGAATATTCAATCTACCTCCCGTTTACAGCTGTTTTTTTTAGGCAAAAGAGGTGATGAACGGCGTTTTGCCTTTCATTCATTTCCAGGCTATTCTTTTACGGTAGTTGATCGATTGGGAGGCGTGCAAGTGTTACCCAGGCAGCCGCCTGGTGCCGCAGCCAACCGCCAGAGCTGGCACCAGCGTCGCGGCTGAGCTACCGTAAGCGCGCTCTCGTCGTCCGCAATCTCTCGCAGAGAGATTTTCGCAGCAGCCTCGCACCTCTCGCGCTGAGGTGCGAGAATTCCCTCAGAGGTCGAGCTACTGCCACATATTATATATCGATCAACACAGCGGAAAATTTGTAGTCTATTAGTAACATACATTACAAAAAATATACAAAAACAAAAAAAGTTAAATAAATAAAAAACAACACAAAAAATCACAAATGAAAATCACAATCATACAATTTTACATCCGCACTGCTGTCAAATGGTTTTCTCTGTGACAAATTTCGACATTTTAATACAATTTTGTGGGCATTTACCTCAATAATTACATCGGAATAATAGATATGAATACTTGGCAATTGAATTTGTAAGAAATCCTCCTCATCCGGTAAAGTTTTTAACCCTTCGGGGATGCTGTTCATTTCTACCCTATTACTTGCGAGGATGCAGCTCTAAAGAAATCCGCAAAAAATCCAAAAATTCAACAAATTCACAATTAATCTTGAAATGAAAAAAGAAACAAGGAATCACCTAGTAAACGAACACCTTCTGCTTGCATAGCCCGTTCTCACAAAATTTGCTAAGACTTTTTTCTAGCCTCCAAGATGCTCAGACTGAAGGCTGGAAAGCTGAGAGTTTGACATCTCGAATCTTAGCTGCTCAACATTATTTCATCTTTTATACCTCCATATGTGGCACACACACTTTTTCTAATATCTGACCTAGTTGGTGTTAGAAGTCTTCTTCCCCAAAGGTCACAACGAATTGTGCCAAACCATTCAACAATCTATTTTATATTTTTTATGAACTTACTCCACGATATTATGTTTTCAATTTAATTTTGTAATCATTCCATCAATTTATTTATTTAACTTTTTTTTGTTTTTGTATATTTTTTGTAATGTGTATTATAAACTACAAATTTTCCGCTGTGTTGATCGATATATGACATGTGCCAGTAGCTCGACCTCTGAGGGAATTCTCGCACCTCAGCGCGAGAGGTGCGAGGCTGCTGCGAAAATCTCTCTGCGAGAGGTTGCGGACGACGAGAGCGCGCTTACGGTAGCTCAGCCGCGGCGTTGGTGCCAGCTCTGGCGGCTGGCTGCGGCACCAGGCGGCTGCCTGGGTAACACTTGCTACGCACCCTTGATCGATTTCGTAGAAAACAGTCTCTTTAAATTTGTCTTTAGTTTTAAAGCTATGCTACTTCCATCAGGGAGTCATCGGGTTGCGGACTTTCTTTGAATGTAAGTGTGAACTTGTTGGAACTTCATGCAGCATTGTTTTTCGTACTCTCTCATTAACTTTATCATTAAAATAAGGGAAAGCCTGCAAACCGCCTCCGCACAAGAGCTGGGAGCTCGTAAATCTTTACGGAACGCTGTTTTTTTTTGCACAGCTTTCGTTTTGATGATATTGCTCTCCTGCGTGGCTGCGCAGGCAAGGTTTTTCAATGTGTTTTCGATTTGGGGTTGGTCTACTATGCTGAGTGGACGATATCGTCGCAAAACGCTGTTTTTTGCACTTTCTAACTTTAAAGCTACTTTACTATGTTTAAAGGTACACTTGCTGATCTAACTAAGTTACGGTAGTGTAGTTACGATCCTACGACATGATGGAATAACTTCAAAAACAAAGAAAGTACATTCGCAACTGGCTCATCCAGCATAGTAAACCAGTTCCAAAACGAGAAAGACGTCGAAAAGGCCCTGCCTTGCAATAGCTCTACAGCGGGATTTAGAGTGAAAGGGTTTCACTCAACAATGAATCGATTTTTCCAGCAGTAGACAACCGAAAAAACGAAAGGTATGTATCAATCGCCCGTCCGGGTAAGTTACCCGGACAGGTAGTTTCCGCTTCATAGCTCGGTGCTTTGGGAATCTGTGTTCTTCCTTGTTTGTTCATCTTTAGGAGGCTCTACTACCCTAATATTGTAGCACAATGAGTAGCAGCACTTTGCTTTGTAAGCTGAGATATTTCGTTATTTGTATGAACCCGAACGGGATCTCCCACTGATCACGCTCATTTTCAAAGTTATCTATATCCGCAAAAACTCAATGAAAACGTCATAGAGTTTTGCTGTCGGTCTATTACGACAGTGCTACGCATGTTTGTGAAAGAAATAAGTGGAAAATCAAGTTGACAAAATCTTCGATAAACCTGTGCTCGCGAGCTGGGCTTTATCGAAGAACTCAAAACTTGCACATTTCATCTGTGCTACTAAAAACATGCGTAGCACTGTCGTAATAGATCGACAGCAAAACTCTATGACGTTTTCATTGAGATTTTGCGGATATAGATAACTTTGAAAATGAGCGTGATCAGTGGGAGATCCCGTTCGGGATCATACAAATAACGAAATATCTCAGCTTACAAAGCAAAGTGCTGCTACTCATTGTGCTACAATATTAGGGTAGTAGAGCCTCCTAAAGATGAACAAACAAGGAAGAACACAGATTCCCAGAGCACCGAGTTATGAAGCGTATGAAGCGGAAACTACCTGTCCGGGTAACTTACGCGGATGGGCGATTGATACATATCATCCCAGATCAACGAACTGTATCTGCAATCAATTACTATAGCAAAGAAGAGAACTTTGGAAACAAAAGAGTGATGACAAAGGAATCAAAAAGCCTAGCATCTAGTGACAATAGGCTTTCGCTACGCTTCAAGGACAATCTGACACAGTGCGCTTCAGCTGCAATAGCGGCAACCGGCGCGAAAGCAGCTACTGGCTGCAAAAGCGACAACCGGCGCGGTCCCGGCGCGGTCTGGAGGCTCCCTAACAAAACGTCAGCCCTTGCAAAAGGAAGCGCGTTCCAAATAAATAGCTTGCGCATTTCGCGCTGCCAAGGGGAACGTAAAATTCAAACTTATAAGATCCAGTATTGTAAGAGGCCATATGCCATCCTCAGATTGGACACACATTGCGATTGCAAATTCTTCGAACAAGCAGATATAGTGCAATTACCTATTTAAATTGCAACTATATGCATGCCCGTGCTCAAGATAATGAACCCTTACAGTTTTGCTGCTATTTCGCACCTATGCAGACAACGGTTTGAAGCCAATTGTTTGAGTTTTGATTGGTGCTGACTATATAAGTTAAGAAGACTCACGCAATCAAGAAAACAAGTGGTATGAAAAGTTGAATGAGAAGAGCTACTTTTGGCTGAAGATTTCCCATCGACCGATCTGTCAGAAACGCATACGTGAAGGAGCCAAACAAACCGGCAGCACCTGTTCCCGATGACCACGCAGCTATTGATGCGCTGAAACTCGAGGAGTTAACACTTTTTCCATTTTTATCAAAACTTATAATTTCCAGTCCATACGTGGAATAATGAGAAGCCAACGCAAGGTAACTGATCTCTCCTATTCCAGATCCGAAAGATGCGAAGCACACTCCGGAAAGCGACATCGGCACGTTGACGGAGAAGGCAACTATGAAGTAGCTTGCAGATTGTAGGCAACAAACCAGCACGTGGCGAAACCTAGTAAAAGCTAGAAGATTCGCGAAGAGCCATTGCAAATAACTATTTTTCTCACACAAATGGAATCCGATGCATAAAGAATGGAAAGGTAAGTTTGACAAGAAGAGAGGGAAGGTTGTCTGCAAGAAGTACAGCTCCAGTCGAAATGGTTGTGCAATGTCGAGAAGTGATGTGTTCCTCAAAACATTTAGTTATAACATGTATGGATTGGTATTAAAACAATACAAGCATGTTGTTTATAAAGTCGTGAGATGAAATTACCTCACAGTTCTGAATTTCTTTGGTAACATTGCCTCCCTCCTGAGCAGCCATAATGTCCTCCGCAGCACTCAACATAATTACATATCCGTAGTTGTTGCATAGACCGAAAATCCTGAATTCAAGCATAAAGAAGCTTTTTAAGCTAAGTTTTGCGCGATATAAATCAGATATGGAAATTCAAAGTTGTTGGTCATGCTCGCCAAGGCGAATTTCATCTTTTAATCCATGAAGCTAGAGCCAAGCGCTTTGACGTTGTAAAGCGCATGCCATGCTTATTCACTTCATTCACTACTCCCGAAACAAAATGCCTCGAAGTGGATTAAGTCGTCGAATATGTGGAGTTACAGATCTTATATATAAAGCTGAATGTCTGTTTGTCTGCCTGTATGTATGTATGTATGTATGTATGTATGTACGTATGTTCCGAATAGAAAATTCCATTTCTGAACCGATCCGGACCAAACTTGGCACACATACACTACGGGCCCCGGCGGGTGTCATAGGCTACTTTTCGTCATCGATCGATATCGATTTTATCGATTTTTATCGATTTTTTTGCTGAGTTCACCTACGGGGCTGGGAGTTGGCACAGGGAGGTAATCGAGCATGGGGATTCCGAATACAATATTGATTTTCAGGATTATCGATTACTTTTATCGATTTTATCGATTTTTTTGCAAAGTTTGAGCTACGGGGCTGGGAGTTGGCACAGGGGGGTAATCGAGCATGGGGATTCCGAATACAATATTGGTTTTCGGGATTATCGATTACTTTTATCGATTTTATCGATTTTTTGCAAAGTTTGAGCTACGGGGCTGGGAGTTCGCACAGGGGGGTAATCGAGCATGCTGATCATCCCCAAGGGGGGTGATCAGCATGCTCGATTACACCCCTGTGCCAAATTCCAGCCCCCTAGCTCAAATTTTCAAAAAATCGATGAATCGATAAAAGTAATGGACGATCTTGAAAACTAATATTGTATTCGTAATCTGCATGCTCGATTACCCCCCTGTGCAAACTCCCAGCCCCGCAGGTCAAACTTTACAAAAAAATCGATAAAATCGATAAAAGTAAGGGACGATCCTGAAAACTAATATTGTGTTCGTAATCAGCATGCTCGATTACCCCCTGTGCAAAATCCCAGCCTCGCATGTCAAAATTTACAAAAAATCGATAAAATCAATAAAAGTAATCGATAATCCTGAAAACCAATATTGTGTTCGGAATCCCCATGCTCACTTCCCCCCCCCCCCCCTGTGCCAACTCCTAGCCCTGTAGGTGAACTCTGCAAAAAAATCGATAAAAATCGGTAAAATCGACATCGATCGATAACGAAAAGTGGACCGTGACACCCGCCGGGACCCGAAGTGTATGTGTGCCAAGTTTGGTCCGGATACGGCGGAGCCGGGTAAGCCAGCTAGTTTAACATAATTTAACAAGAGCATCGACTGACAGATCGCCTTCCTAACATGTTTAATGGATGCCTTTCAGTACCTCTTGGAGCTCTAAAAAATGCCCAAGCGGCAGCTCAAATATGAGCTCATAGTGGTGGTATTCGCCTTCAAATTGGACCCCGGGATCGTATTCGCATGGATATACGACGTGACACATTAGTTTCGCGCGAGGACCCACACGTGTCGCGCCATGAATCCATGCGAATACGATCCCGGGGTCCAGTTTGGAGGCTAATATCTCAACTGTGAGTTCACCATTCGAGCTGCTTTGAGCTGCTGCTTGGCATTGTCTTAGTTAGGGCCCCAAAATTGCTTTCCACATCGAAACCCCGTATGCCCAGCTTTGCCTGGACACTGCCTTCAATCAAGTCTTTTTCAACGAAATCGAAGGACATTGTGGTTTCGTAGCATGCTTTGCTCCGAGCTCAAATGATCAATTAATGCTCTACCGATGAGTTACTATCTCCGATCTAGAGGACCTCACATTACCGCTTTGTATCTTCACGATAGTTGTCTTCTGGATAAAAATTGGCTACTCAAACACACCCAAGGGAAAAGCAGAAGAAGGCAGACACTAGTGTGAATGCACACGTCATTACAGTATAACTGAAACAATTCTTGAACAATGCCTCGCATAGTGAACCTATCACTGTCATGTCAATTGTGCACATAGTCAGCTATACGTCTCAAATCCGGTTTCTCTCAAGTATCATCTCACTATTTTATCAGAATTCTAGTCTAATGTGTAAAATGTTTGTACTTGCGGATGGAAGTTTGGGGTAAGAAGCAGATGTCGTTGGCACACTGACGACGCAGGATGGGTCATGCATTGTATACGACATAGGACAGGTCATAGCTTATATTTCATTGCAGCACCTTCTGTTCTGGGATGGACTCACTCCCACAGTTTTCTACGCGCTCATTTTAGGAAATTCAGTGTTTCTTGGCAGCAACTACTTAAATTTACAATGGATATATTGTAAACTAGCTGGCAAACCCTGTTTCGCTGTTAATGATATGTTCGTAATCAAAATGCTCCCTTACTCCCTGTGCTGACTCCCAGCCCGTAGCCCAAACTTTGCAAAATCGATAAAATCGGTGTCGATCGATGACGAGAAGCAGCCTAAAAAACCCGCCCGCCACGAAGTGTATGTATGCAAAGTTCGTGCGGCGGTTCAAAAAGGAATTTTTCTATTTGGAACATCCGTACAGACATATACTCTGCTCCATTCCTAATTAGGCCGAAATGGCATGGCGGGAGTCGACGTCGTTAGGGTTTTGCGTCACACTTACGGCCTGCTTATCTGCTCTTTCTTCAACCTCTTCGCCCTCTCTGACAGTGCGCATATGCGGCGCGTGCTCCTAGCGCTGCGAGCGCGCAATTTACCCCAAGGGTTCGGCCTAATTCCAATTGGGACAGAGCGTACATGCATGCATACATACAGACAGACAGACGTTCAGTTTTATATATAAAAAAGTCTTGCAATTCAATCCCGATATTTTTGCTTTCGTAGACGGCTTTGTCGCACGAGATAGACAAGTAAAAAATTGTGTTGTTGTTAAGGTGTTGATAAGGCGCTGAGGACTGAGGGTAGTTCTTAGTTGGGAAAGTTCTGTAAATTTTGCTGTTGGGGAAGGTACAACGAATTTTTATGTTGAAGGTAAGAACCTGTGGACGAACGCTCGCTTGCTCTATCTACGAGCAAGGACCCTGCATATGAATCACGCTGGTAGTGGAGAGGCAAAAGTAAATTAGTCAGCATGAGAATCTGTGCAGTTTGCTGGCTAACTGATTTCCCTGCATTTTCCTGGACCAATTCTTCCAAAGAGGAATTCCTCTCTTAGCCATGCAAAATATTTTTCAAACTCAAATGAATTCAACACTGCCAACGGTGTCAGGCAAAATTTTCAAGTAATTCACGGTAGTGACCCGTTTTGTTTGGACATTTCCAGGAGTTGGCTGAATAAGTGAAAAGGTTTTCTCCTACAAATAAATTTATGTCAAAACAACTTAATTCGCTTCGAATGAAGTGTCAACTCTCAATCACCACAGATAATGCGTGTGGTGGGATAAAGACTGAGTAGACATAGATAGACCACACATAATATCAAAGAAAACGATTTGGTGACCGTGGTCACTCACAATAAGACTCATATCACTAGACAAAGTTGTTCGTTGAGCAAGAATTCCGCGAAGGTTTGTGAACTACCTTGTAAAGCTCGCTCTGCTCTATCAAATGATACCTTATTCCATGTTTTTTGTGCTCACTCTATCGCGCTAGGATGCTATGCGACATTATTTTCCGGACAACCTAATACTATCTGCTAACGATATTCTGAGGTAGGTCAAAAAAAAACGTATTCAGAGACATTAACTAGAGACAAATAAATGTTTCTATAGTACTGCTGATTTTTTTCTTGAAAGTGGTCAAGAGGTTGTGATCTTATATCGCTGTTTTTACGTCACTTTACCTTCTGAAGCAGGTTAGTAAATCATGAAGTGTCAATTTCCTCTACACGTGGCAGATATGCAGTAATGGCGAAATAAAAATGATTGTCATTCCAAAGCACAAAAAATGGGTCAGTTTAGAAAGTTGGGTTTGGATTCTACAATTTGACTTATCTAAGCTCTTATAATTGTATCTGCATCTTCTTGCTGCATCCCCTGAATAGCTACTTTATTTGCGTCTTTCAATCGTTCAGTTAGTATATATGTTAGTAGATGTAGTGTTCAGTGTAAACGTTAGCACTTCACATCCTTATTCCATGACCGTCAAAGGAACCTAACTTGGTTGGAGCACTGTGGAAATATTTTTACAAGAATATGTTTTTCGGTAAAGACCAAGTTTTGTACTTGCGCTCTCGTGCTTACAAACTTGTTAGATTGAAGATTTGCATGAAATTCAGTATATATCAAAAAGAGCAAGAAAAATGCTTATGATGCAAATATATCCCGTTTTAAAAGTCCAGTCAAACCTTCGACTTCCAAATTTTTGTTGCTTTCAGGCCTTCTGAGAGCCCTGATTTCGAATATGGAGTTGAGAATCCGAGAACTCCCAAAAATCCCCGTTTTGGAGAACCTGCTGCAAGAAACGCGGGCGAGGGGAAAGCTTGCAAAGTGGGGGGGGGGAAGAGGCGGCGACCACCTAGGTAGAGTGACCAGCTCCTGTTACGTTTCTTCCGGAGCGGATTTCTCGCTCCGGAAACAATCTTTTGCGGCGCAGCTTTGGGGAGGGGGGGGGGAGAGGAGGTGCCAGTGTGGGGGCCACACTAGTGCGCCATCATAGTACCGTCAACCCCATTTCGGATAAATGTGACTTGAAGCATAAAATCTCCTAGAACAGCTGCCTCAAATACAAAGGCAATAATCGGACAGAACTTATGCAGCCAACCCAATTAAAGCGATTGTAAAATTTGTTTTCTAATGCGAGGGCTGTGATAATTTGTTAGATTGGTAGGCGTAAATCTAACGTCTCCTCAGAGTCTGTTTCACTCGGCTGACATTACGTGAATATTCGGTTCTAATTTGTGCGTATCAGAATGTTTGAAGAAGCCATTCCGCGGTCCAGTCTTGCGCTACTGGCAATTGCTCATATTCACCATACTAGCTGATACATTCATAATTTTCGGGTTCCCTTGGATCCCCCAGAACGATATACTCTTTTATATTTCCAGAACGTTGTTCGTCCTGCCCCGTAAGCCACCTGTGCCCCTGCGTTCTTTCCCAGCACTTTAGACACAAGCAGACGTTTGATTTGCTTTTTGCCTTCGATCTAATTTGAATTGCTAAACGCTACTCACCAAAACGCTGCAACGTTCCTTATGACTGCCCAGTTCCATTTCTTCGACATAAAATACCTGCAACATTTGAAAGCGATTCAAGAGTAAATCTAAACCGTAGGTCGCAAAATTCGAACAAGATTTAAACAATCGCAAGTTTTACTTGATACATATCTAGGGTCTGAAGTTTGCGCAAACTTTACTTGCGATGTAGTCGTAAATGAAAATCTTGCGCTAAAAATATGAATGATTATTCAAGAACATCCACAGCTATAGGAATGAAAAGTTTTTAATTTGAATTTATTCGATTGTTAAAGAAAGTTTCTTATGCAAGCAAAATTCTCCTGTAAGAATTTGATTGCGCCATTCTCTGTCACGCTTCACGCAAAGAGAGAAGAGAAGATGAAAACGAAAAGTATAATTATATCGAATACACATAAAAATCGCCCGGTGGAAATCAAGAGTTGGCCTAGTAAGTCTGCTCTTGTAGGGGAAAAATTTGTATTACTCGATCAGCAAAAAGAAGAGAAATAAACCCTGCACATCTGATCCCGCCTACAGCGCCGGGTGGTAGCAAAAACGATGTCAGGTACTCAGGGCGCCTTTCAGATTGGACAAAAACGACGCGTCTGCCCAGACGACACGCCATGGAGAGTGCCTCATGCTCTGCACCTACAACGTCAAGACAGTCTCCACAAACGCCGATCTCCACGCTCTTCTCCACGCTGCAGAGCACATCATGTACCACGTCATCGCTCTGCAGGAGGCGAAGTCTAGGAAGAAGGACGTGCGACAGATGAGTGATAGAACCCCCATTATTCGTGGTGAAAAGGTTCCATCACGAAAAGTAGGGGGCGTTGGCTTTGTCGTCCACCCATCTATCGTCCATCTTATCGATTCGTATGAGATCCTGTCACCTTGCCTGGCCATCCTACGACTACGACCTCCACGTCAGAAGACCATCAGCATCATCAACTGCTACTCACCAACATCAGCAGCTGACGACTCAGAATTAGATGCTTTCTACGAAAACGTGGAGCAGATCGTCCGCAACGAGAAGTCTTTCTACAAGTTTGTTGTGGGAGACTTCAACGCGAAGATCGGGATGCCACTGGGAGAGGAAGGATCGGGAAGTTTGGATATGGGCTCCGGAACGAAAACGACAACAGTCTTGTTGGGCTTCTCTCCGCCGCACGACTTTTCCATGGAGATAACATCTTCATGAAGAAAGAACATCGCCGTTGGATTTGGGAATCGCCCAAACGGAACGACTCATACGGAGATCGAACATTCTTACCAACCGAAGGTGGAGCTTGCTCGATGTCTGAGTAGTTCCATCCTTCTGCAGTGGCTCCGATCACCGCCTCCTTCGAGCGAAGATATGACTCAGCCCAAAGCTGGAAAAGAAAGTCTGTCACAGTGCCGCGAAAAGGAAGGAAGTGAAGTCGTTTATGACGGTAAGAGGCTGGAAGAGCTCATATCAAGTTGTGACTGGCCCATTGAGGAGAGGACCCAACGTACGACAACACCGGCTTCTGAAAGGATTGCGAGCTTGCGGAGAGTGTGCTTCAGTGACTTCTGAGAAGAGCTTGAATTGCATCTCGAAGACCACCAAGGAATTGCTCGAAAGAAGAAGATTACTGAGGCAGGATCCGAATGCAACTCATCTCGAGCGACTGATAGCCAACTCCAGCTGCAGAACAGCTTTGCAGGAGGATCTCAGGAAGTACAGGCAAGCCAAGGTACTGGAAGCAGCTGAAGGAAGCGAAGCTTTGAGAAGTGCCGATGGTACCTCTGTGAATATCACGTACCGCTGGCTGCACTACTGAACGAAGACGGGACTCCGACTTTTTCCCGATACAAGATGGAATCTATCGCGAAGAACTTCTACAACAACCTCTTCCGGTCATCAACACCCGTGCCGATCCCCGTTGTTCCCACTGGAGAAGTACCACCAAGGATTCTACCTGCTGAAGTGATACAGACCATGAAGACGTCCACGGCTCCAAGATTAGATCATCTTTCCATCGAACTTTTGCGAGCGGAGGACACCATCTACACGAGGTTCTATCTAACATCTTACCTTCAGTCGGAGAAGATTCCCGACCAGTGGAGAACATCAAGAACCGTCCTTCTCTTCAAGAAGGGTGAACGGAAGGATTTTCGAAACTACCGTCCAATATGCCTGCTGAGTGTGCCCTACAAACTTTTCACAAAGATCGTCCTCGCTCGCATATCTAGCACACTGGATGAAGCTCAACCGTAAAAACAAGTTGGATTCCGCAAGGGATTCAGTTCATAGACCACATCCAGACGGTTTCGAGGGTCATAGAAGTCTGCCGGGAATACCGACTGCCTCTCGCGTCGACTGCGAGAAAGCCTTCGACAACATCGCAGCCAACGCCATCCTGTCAGCGCTAGTTGATCAAGGAGTGGACCAAGCTTACGTGAGGACCTTAGCCGACTGCTACAAGGACTGTACAACGACGTTGCAGCTGTTCCATCGCCCCTGACAATTCTGGAAAGGGGTTCGACAAGGCGACACTATTTCGCCACCGCAGCCTTGCAGTGGGTGATGAAATCACTGGACTGGCACGAGAGAGACATAGAGTCGATGAGAAATTCCTGTCCAACCTTCGTTTTGCGGATGACATCGTTCTCTTACCGAGCAGTATCACTGAAGCAGAGACAATGTTGAAGGAACTAAACGAAGTAGGGAAGAAGATTGGATTGCGAATAAATCGGAAGAAGACTCAGTTCATGATAAACGCCCTTTGCGAAGATACAGAAATGGAATTAGAAGGCACCCCAATTATGGAGACGTTTTCTTACGTGTATCCCGAACGTTCAATGAACATGAAGAACGACTTAGGGGAAGAACTTAACAGGAGAAGAAGAGAAACCTTGGCTGCCTTCTGGCCTCTGAATGAAATCACTGACCAACTGACGGACCCGGAGCTTCGTGCCCACCCATTCAACTCAACGGTTCTCCCGGCGCTTGTTGCGCAGCTGAGACTTGGGCCGACACTGCAGCCATGTCGAAAGCTTTACGTACCACCCACAGAACGCCCGAGCGTAGTCTTCTAAAGATGACCCAACGAAAGCATCTAATCAGATTTCGCAGTGCGGATATGAGAAGAATGTCCCGTCTTTGCGAACCAGCGAAATACATTGCGAAAGCGAAACACCGATGAGCCGGTCACATCATGAGAAGAAAAGACGACAGAGACTAAGGACACTAAGAACATCTGAGTATATTCCTCGCGAAGCCGAACGCCCCCGAAGAAAACCACCAGCGAGATGGGCAGACGTGTTCGTGGAACGGATGGACCAGCTGAGAAATCAGCTGGATACGATTTTCGCACCTGGAACTCGTGGACGCAGTCACCCACGGCAACTACGAAGATCGTGGATATCTGAAGCGAGGGACAGGGACAAATGGCAGCTTAGTGCTGGGGCCCGCACGCCACGTAAAGACGGGCCATCCAAGTATCTAAGTAAGTACACATAAAAATACAAAAATACATTTTACAGGAGTAAAGTTTTAGATTATTCATATTAATTATCTATCTACTATTCTCTCGAACTGTGATGAACAGTGGAGAATTATAAAGGGTGTGTCAAAAGTCTGAGAGCTCAGTCTAGCGGTGATGTGATTTACGAATTGTTTATTAGGTGTTGGTGCTAAAATAATGTGCGTTTTTCTAGGCTTATTTTCCGATCAACTTTTTGCCGTCAAACTCTCTTTTTAGAGATAGATTTTACAAATTAATGGAAAGATCTCTTCATGTACTTTCTGATGTGCAGATAGGCTTCTATCCTCATCTATGAGAATTTCACTAGCATCTCGCACAGCCGCACTCAAAATCAAAATTTAATTGCCTTCACTTTCTTAACACAATTCAAGAACAAATAAACGAATTCTTTGAAAACATGGGAACATTTTTTGGAAACATGGGATGATTTTGTTTAACTATTGCATGCTTGAGTACTCATTCGAATATCTGGACTGAGAAATTAACGCCTCAAAATAGATACTCGCTGCTGCGTCCTATAAATCAAAAAAAATTTCATGATTGAGGCAATCGCCAAAACTTCTCTCATTTTTGTAAGCTCGAAGTTAGTACATTTTGATTACAATTTTTGCAGAAATGCTTTGCTATTTAGAGCATGAAGAATTCAAAATTTTCGTAATCTGTGGATTTCGGTTTTACCACAACTAGGCTCAAAAGAACGGTTTTGGATTTTATTCTTTCTTTTCACAGAACTCTTTCGTTAGAGTTTTTTCTCTATACACACGTATACTATCGGCTTGCGGCTACAAAATAAGTCTGTTATTGATCGGAGCAATGATTGAATGGAGCTGTAATTTCTCAAAGACGAGTTGCGAAAGGAAAACTCTCGGTTTTCTTCCCGTTAGCAATATCAGGCTCTCAACACGTTGACGACAGTGTCGCGCAATGGTGCGCGACAGGCAGTCTGTCCCTGTGGACGATGTTGCGCATTGGTGCGCGATACCCAAAATATCAGTTCCACTGTGCTCAATGGTTCCGATTTGTGTTAACATAATCGACTTAGGTTTAGAAGTCTTTCATGTTGGCCCCGCCCCCTTTTGGCAAACTCTGTTGCCCTCCACAAATACTCTTTTCCTTCTCAAATAGCATAGAAAAGCTCGTAGATGATCGGGAAACTCCAAATAACCTTGATTTCAACCCCGCCTCCCGTTGTGCAGGCTCCGCCCCCTCAGTGGTAAGCCCCTCCCAGATTCAGTAGTGCCGGGATTTGCACGGGTTCGTGAATTTTGTCCAACCGGCATTTTTGAAAAGTGGGCGGGGCTGCCCCGCCCACTTGCATTTTGTATCTTGCGCATAAATGTATGCATACATACATGCAACCAGCTGTGAAAATGCCCGGAAACGGTTCGTCCACAGGGACAGACGTCAAAAAAAAGCTCGTCGTCAACGTGTTAAAGGCACCTTCCACCCTAAGTTGAGAGTGTTGAGCTTTTGGCGGCATATAATGGTGGGGCCCCCTATCAATCCAATTTCCAACTCGCGGCGCAAAATACCGCTTCGGAAGC